TTTTCGGAAAACAAAAAAAGATAGTTATTTAGGGACCGTTATTATTAAAATATCAGCTTTTTGTATTAAGACTTAAGACTAAAAAATCATAGTGCAATTAACTCTCAATTGGGCGAGTTTGCAGTCACTCCCAACCTTATAAAAAAATAAATCAAGACCTCTCCCACTCCCCTCCCCCGAAACGGGCGCGGCGTCATCCCCTCGCTGTCTGCGGCGGCGACAGCGGCGGCGATAAACGGAATCCCAAAGAAATTGATCAGCTCCGAGTCGTTGGAGACGCCCTGGCAGATGCGATCGGACTCGGACTCCAAATTGGATTATTGGAGTCAGGAAGCAGCGTCGCCGCCTATTTCTGTGAGCCATGTTGGCTTAGATCCTACGATATTCGCTCGCCGTGGTGAAAGTTGTGTTTTTACCGCTCCTTCGATTTGGATTTGGGATCGGCCGGATGGTTAGGCTATCTGCGAGAACAACACGCAAAATAAGATATATTTGTTGTTTGAGTAAAAGATTCAATATTTATTTGGCATCTTTTTCAACAGTAAGACTCAAAAGATAATTCTTTCTGTAAATGGGTTTCCAGAAGAGAGGATGCTTATATTTGGGTTATGCCTCACAGGCAACTCAAAATAGGTCTTCCGTATAGATACTCTGTTGAAAATTGATTTTGAGTCTCTTGCTATCTATTTTAGGTTTAGAAACACTATATAACATACATGTGTTTTAGCGAAAAAAAAAACTCATGAATTTTCTCTCTCTTCTTTCCCTCCGTTCTGCTGGCACGGGCACGGGCACGGGCGCTGCCGTGGCGCAGGCCGCAGGCGCGGGTCACGCCGCCCAGGATCCGCTCTGCTCGAGGTCGGACATGGTGTCAGGATTTGCCTCTCCGCTCGAGGCTGGCTGCTGCTATGCTGTAGCTTGCTCCTGGGTAGCGGTGGAGGAGTCTGGCTGCACGCGTCCTCCAGTAGCCTCTCATCCTCCTCCTCTGTTGTGATTTGTCTTTCTATAAGAAAAAAAATTATTTCTTATGATTTATGATCTATAATTTTATGATTTATGATTATCTAGATATAGAAGAAGGCCAGAGACTGGAAGCAGAAAAAAGTAAAGCCTATTGAATCTTAATTCTACGATGTAAAAAAATTCATGCGTCGAAACTGCATAAAACACATATATATTTGGTCCTCGGAGACAGTCTTAGCCGCCGCCGGGCTCGGCCGGCCGATGCAGTGGACCGTCCAGTCCCTTCATGCGACGACCACAGCACCAAGCGACGCCGCGGTACCGCCACCACGGCCTCCTCGCCCTGGCCGTCGATGCCCGAGGATCTGATGGCACACATCGCGGACCGGGTGCTCGCCGGAGATCTGTCCGCTTCCGGGCCGCGGGCCGCCACTGGCGCTCCTGCACCGTCGACCCGCGCGGCCGAGGCGTGGCCGACCCTCGCTTCCACCCACGCCGGTGGATGATGCTCCCCGAGGGGCACGGCCTTCACCCCGGCCACCCCAGGCTCCGTGGGCGCGCTCGCTTCTTCAACCGCGACACGGGCGCCTTCGTTTGCGCTTGCATCCCGGAGTTCAAGGACCACTGCATCCTCGACTCCCCCGACGGCCTCCTCCTCCTGCAGCGCGACGCCGACACCGCGGTCCGCCTCCTCCATCCATTCACCGGGGACATCGTGGACCCCCCGCCGCTCAAGTCACTACTGCCGCAGCTCTGCCAGCTCACCCCCAAACAGCCATGGCTCGACGGTGAAGAGAACAACCTGGTTTATTTCCGGAGGGTCGCCGCTGCTGTGTCCGTTGCTCAGGCGACTGGGATTGTCACCGTCCTGCTCGCGCTGGAACACCTCTGCCGCTTCGCCCATGCGTCCACTGCTGACCGAAACTGGACTCTCACGAGCTGGAGTGTAAATGTAAATCTCAGCAGAGCACTGCCATTCCATGGCAGCTTCTACATGGCGAACTGTGATGGGATTGGGAGCATCTCGCGTCTGGACGTACCCCTCCTTGACGAGGGTGGCTCGCCGGCGGCGTTATCCCGGCCACAGTGCCACCACCGCAGACAATTGCTAAATTTCCAGCCAAACTGATGATTCTGCCACGGCTGGTGGAATGCGACTCGGAGATCCTGGTGCTTGGCAGCACCGACGCGTCCGATTCCCACCTCGTGGTGATCAGGCTTGCTGACCTCCTAGAGGGACGGCCTGCCGCGCCATTGACAAGCATCGGCGATCACTGCCTCTTCTTTGGCATGCGAAGCTTCGCGGTGTCCTCCAAGGGGTTGCCTTCCATCGCTGGGAACTCCATCATTCTCTGCAGCACCATAAAAAATGGCCCGATGCAGTACGATCTCAGTGATGGCGCCATGTCTCCGCCGTGCGACGGAGACATCGTCCATAGCCCCCCACCTAGTCCGCACAGCATTATTCACCATCTAGTGACCTGCTGCTACCGCTATTTCTGGAACAAAGGACTGATGTATTGCCATGGAACAAAACCTTCATGGAAGACGAAATGCAAGTTGCGGTTTGGGGTTTGAGCTTATGATGAAGTCTGAATGAGGCATTGTTATACGACCTGTTTATCGTGGTGAAATTGTTGCGATGAACTGCTTCAGTTTCTTCAGTTGTTTCACAGGAACAAGTTGTTGCTACTATTTTCAAAGTTAGGATTTGCTTGGGAAAACTCCCACATAAATTCTGTTTACCCCTGATGTGTGTTTTCAACTGGTTTCACCACCCCTGTAAAACAAGATGTCTATAGAACATCTTTATTCCTGTTTTATTCCTAGTACCAAAGAAAATGAGAAAAAAGATTGTCTACCTCAGTTCAACTCTACTTGTGCCTGAATAATGTTAAACAATACCCTCTTTTGTATTTATTCTGTTTCACCTATATGTTACTGATCTTTTGTATTATTTTACTCTCTTTCATCATGACCAAAGATGACCTCTTCCCCATGAAATCAAATAATCATGGATACAAAATTCAAGTCTTGTGAAAACTGAAAACTAAATGGAGTCATCATTTCTTTTGGCATGAGTCATGACTAATTTTTCGAAGACAGATTATGACTACATATAACAGTTACCTGGACAAAGTGTGTATTGTTAATGTTGAAATGAAGGTTAGGACTATAACACTTAACTGTTGATAGTGTGTAACTAGTCTGAAATTTATCATATGCTCTGATGTCTCAAATATTTACAGCATCAAATGACCCTGACCCTCCACCTGTTTGAATCAATATCTAGCCAAACTAGATAGATATATAGACATATAGTTACAAAAGATATGACAAGTATATGTGCAGCGTTCCAACTCCGGCGACTCAAGCATCATGCGCCTCGACCCGCCGTGGCCGCCGGCACACCTCGAGGAGTCCTCGCTACTGCCACTTCCGCTTCCGCCGCCGCAGACGATAGTGACGCTCCCCGCTAAGCTCATGATCATGCCACGGCTGGTGGAGTTCGAGTCGGAGATCCTCGTGGTCGGCAGCACCGACACCAGCTCCACACACCTCGTGGTTGTCAGGCTCGCCGACCTACTGCTCGGCGGGCCGGCAGCTCCATTGACAAGCATCGGCGACAACTGCCTCTTCTTCGGCATGCAGAGCCTGGCGGTCTCCGCCAAGGGGATGCCTTCCGTCTCTGGGAACTCCGTCGTTCTCTGCAGCACCGTAAGTGGTCGCGTGATGCAGTACAATCTGAGTGATGGCTCCTCGTCGTTGGCGGCGTGCGATGGGGACATTTTCCGGAGCCCCCCGCCCTGTCCACACACCATTGTCCTTCACCTCCTCACCTGCTGCTACAGCTATTTCTGGAACAAAGGACTGATTTATTGCTTCAGAACAATGGGGGCGGAAACGCAAATGGAGGTTGGGGGCTTGAGTGGGCTCTCAAGAATTTGCTTCAAGCAGAAGAACAGAAGTGCTTAGTTCTTGCTGTTCAGATAGTCAGTCTTGTTCTGTTCTGCAACCGTAGTACTGTTAGTTCTGTTTCTGTTTGACTCTGTTGTACTGTACTGTTTTATAAAAGTAGTTTTATCATACTTGTTAAAAACGGTGTCTACAGAGCTGCTATATTTTTGTTTTTCTATTTACCAAAGATTTTTTTCCCCCCCTGAGACTTGCCGGAGAGCTATGATTTAGCTACCAATGAAAAAGAGAAGTACTATCAAGTGGCTCCCCATGGCTCGGTTGTGTTTGCAGCTACAACAAAGTTTTCCCCAAAAACGATTTAATCTCATTTCTTCCATAATCACGATTCACAACACGTACTACAGTCACGAATTGTCTTCCAATTCGCACACCAAATAAAGCAGCATTGGGGGAGAGAGAGAGGCATTTCTTGAATTTTTCCATCCGTATTATTCAGGTGAATCAAAATTTTCTCCCAGATCTTAGAAACGAAAAGTAGTACTTCAGAACCTCAAAATTTACTCCTCACCGCGTTCAGCTGGTATAGTTCCAGCCTGTTTCAGCTTATTCTCACTCACAGAATACTATTCAATCATTAAAAAAAATCCAAAAAACACTGTACAGCAGACCATCCGAACGAGCTGTAACAAAACAAAGTTGCCACCGTACGAAATTACACAAACACAGAGTTAGCACACCACCACTGACAGAAACATGTATAAACCATCAGCACTACTCGCTGAGTCGCTGTCACTGTACATAACTACATACTGAATTCCTAACGGGCAGGGTCCTAAAATCAAGCAACAAATCGCTGGTGTTGCCTAAAACAGCCACTCCGGTGGCAAGCAGCAATCACTACAGTCAGATCATATCAGATGCACCTAGCAGTTTTCCCTGGACGTCATGGCGAATGCCGGCCAATTCTCATGGAAGCAAAGGCCTACCCTTAGCAAGGAATTCAGAAGGCGATGGAAACCAACCAACAGAACAATTGCCTAGTCTTGCTGACACAGTAGACACAGCTCAGGAGTTGCAGATTGTGGTACGATGAAAAGGACAGAAAGGTACCGAAACTATTAGCTGGATGTTGGGCCATCTGAGTTGAGAAAGCCCATCTTCTCAGACAGCACATTCATATCATCCTCGATAACAGGGCTATCGTTCTCCTCACCAAGTCCTTCGTTTAGCAGTTGCTCCCAGAAGTTGTCATTCAAATCATCCTGGGGCATGTCTTGCTGCTGCTCAGAGGTACTGCCAATATCAATGTCCTGTGGCTCGATCAGACCTTGGCCATCGAAAGCTGGACTCTCAAGATCAGTTGGGATCCCGTCGACAAGGAATTCAACCGAATCCTGGGGATTAAATAGGACTGGTGAACCTTGCTCTAGGTTGCTACCAGCCCCAAGTCATCAACTTCAGGTCCTTGATCGATGCGGCGTCTTCTTTTCTTTGAAATAGCATCTTGGAGCTCCTTTCTCATCTCATTCTGGGAAACCAGGTGCTTTAAGAATTCAGGATTCCGCATGACACGTGCCAAGAACGCCATCATCTGCTGCTGCTTCTGTTCAGTCCCTTGTAGCCTATCCTCCATGGCTTTGAGATTCGCCCGTGTTCTGCTGCTCCTGCCTTAGCTTCACCACTTCTGCCATCAATAACTGCTTGTCTCTCTTCAGCGTGTCAATCTCTGCATCATATCCAAAGTGCCCCACCTCAAGGTATGGCCCAAGGGACTGCTGGTTTGTGGCGTTCTGAGCAGGAGGTTTTCGACGCCTAATGTTCTTCAGGAGCCGTCTCTGTCCCCGTAAAAAACCCTCATTCGCAAATTCCCACCGATCAGGATCCACCTTCCTGAAACCCTGGATAGGCCAGCAAACAACATATCAGGCAACGGTTAGCTTCAAAAGACCTCAAGGCAAGAAGATACTGGTGCATTTGAAGTATAATAAAATAATACGGTTAATTTTTCAACAGATCAGCAATAAGAGCTAAAGTGTAATCAAACAAAAGATGTCCTACATTACCTCTTTAGGATATGTTCCAGTTTACTTTGCACAGTTTCAGTTTGCATTGTTTTCAGTTACTTCTTCATTTAATTTGTTAATTTCTGCTTCAATAAATCAATACTCCTCCTTTTCTACTATTTCGTGGACCTGTCATTTACTGCCTCATTCAAAAGCAAATAAGCAAACAATAAAGCATTAACAAAAATAGAGATCAATAGTATGAAAATATTGTTTCACTTCAGAAATATTGAGTTCATTGAGAGAGAGAGAAGAATCCATGAGAGGAATAATGCACAGTGCAAGGACAGCATGAACTTTAGAAGCTGACAGTGACATGTAACCTATGGCGTTAGGGTTACTATTCAATCATGCACATTACTACAAATAGCTCCAAAGAGTGGGCACGCAGAAGTATTCCAGCTGCTATTAATTCAGGAAAAGGTGCCCTGGCATCAAAACAGGGAAGTACAGCACATGAAGGGTGATGTTGCTGTTGAATAGCTTAAGGAAAATAATAATTCAAAAACAAATTATCCCTTGTAGATGAATGCTTGCTAAAAACACAGCAGTAATATTTTCCGAAATGCCAACAAGATTATCTTCTTCATTTCCTTCCTTTAAGGACAACATGAGCAGATGTGGCGAACCACGTTCCTCATATTAAACAATAACTTGTCTGGGGTTTCTACGTACTTGTACACAAAGACGTAGTACTATGCAACTGTAGTATTAACTTGCATCATACATTCATACCTGAATACGCTGTAAGTTAAACTTGCTTGTTTAATTAATTATCTATATGTTGTTCTGAAGTACAAATGTGATTATCACCAAAAATAAGAGATGAGATTCCCACAACTCAAGCAGAGTACTTAAATAGTGCATAGCAAGCTTCAATGCCTACATATGTCGTTTCATTGCGGACCACAAAACATAACAACGCAACTGGATTACACCAACTACTTGCAAAAACAGTCAACAGCATTGCATTTAGGATCTGAACATTCAACGCTGTTAACACCCAAGCATCACGAACCATGCCAGGCTGAATCGTAATGGGGGGAAAAGAAGCGCTTACATAGGTGTTGAGCTGCCGGACGAAGCTAGAGAAGTTGTTGTGCTTGAAGTGCCTGGGCAGCAGCACGGTGGCGGCGGCGTCGGATCCCACACCAAAGTTGTTGTTGGTGGCGCCCACACGACACGATCGGGTCGGTGGCGGGTCGTCGACCATGTCATACGTCTTGGTGAGGAATGGCGGCGGCCCAGGGTCATGCAGACCCTCCATCGGCCTCGGCGCCGCGGCGACCGCAGTGGACGGCCCGTCCCCGGCCTCCTCCGCACCTGCCAGCAAATCTCCTCCCTCCCCATGGCTCTCCTCCTTTACCGGGTTGAGCATTGGGTCCATAGCTAGCCAGATTCTACCCTCCTAACCGAGAAACAATGCTAGAATCTCTACTCTGACGCCGGCATGGAATGGTGTGTTGGACAATAATGTCAGCAAAACTCCCTTGTAAACCAAGAGCAATGACAAGGAGCTGCCCCTAGCACCTGGATACACAGTAGTACAGGACACGCATAGACATTAAGACATACACACACGCGGGCGCGCATCTAGCACGGGGGCGGGGAACAGGATAAGGTGCTATCCTGGCAAGAACACCTCACCATCCACCTGCAGCTCTGCAAGTACAGGTAGAAAGCAGCCGACAAACTGTGGGGCCAGAGCACCACACCAGAGGCGGAGAGGAATCAAATCCGCCGGCCCGCCGGGTGCCTGAAACGACGAACACAGCAAGAAGTTGAGCTTCCGCCAGCCGAACCCAGAAGCCGGGAGGGGAGATTTGAGCGGGAAAGGCGGGAGCTTTTGGGACCTCACCAGGACGGGAGCTTTCCTGTCGCCCGGAGCCGCGGCGGGGGTGGCGAGCGGTCACGAGCGCGGGGAGAGGGTAGGTAGCCCGGCAGTAACTGTGGCTCTGGGATGGTGGGTGGGTAGGGTATTGATTTGGCTATTTCGCGAAAGGAAGGTTCTGGAAGGCGAGGGGACGAGGGGATGGGGCCATTGAAGACGGGGTTCGGGGACCGGAAGTGGAGCGGGTGGGACTTGGGAGGGAGACGGAGAGAGAGTGTTATAAAACATGTTGAAGTGGCTAGATCTCTCCCTCTCGGTCTCTTATGACTAAGGTACAGTAGATGAAAATAGAACATATAGCTATAAGATATAGGAAGATTATTCTTTATTTCTCTTAATATTGGTGATTAGAATATAGAGTTTCAACACATATATAGTCCTATCAAGGTCTAAGAGTTTGATAAGAACACATGTACAAACGGACTAGTATTAGGATTTCACCTTCTCCTTTCCTAGTAGGATAGAGTTCCTATATTTTACAACACCCCTCTTGGACGATTACCACGATATGCACATGCCTCATTAAAAACTCCATCCAAAAATTCAGTGAAAAAACGGTTCTTAGATAAAAGAGTACATCGTATTCATTAATTGCATTGCACATATTGTATTATTAAAAACCTTGCGTGAGAAACCTTCAAATAAAAACTCACATAGAAAAAAAGAGTATAACATTTAACCTTATTTGTCATGTATTCTTTGGGATATTCTATTCTTCATGAATAGATATTTATCTTCATGATCTATGCATAAACTTCAATGTTTTAGCAAATATGATCTACGTGATCTTTGTAATTCTAGTGATTTTAATTACCTTCAAGGTAGATTTACTCAAATTGCTCCCCCTCATAAAGCCATCCTTTGAACTTCATTGTTCAGTCCACATTTTTTTCATAAATGTATGCTAAATAATAGTATGCAGTACCATAATACCAAATTGTTGGCTTACCATTATTCAATGAATTATAATATGAGTAAACAAGAGCAATATTCTTCATGCATGAATAACCACTTATTAATTGTGCAAAACAAATAAAATTTATTCTTCAGGGTAAAAAAATCTTTTAGAGAATTATAGGGGTAAATAAGTTACAATATTCAATATCTTCTAAATAGTGTATCAAACTTATAATAGAGTTTGAATACTTATAATTCTTTCTTAGTGGATTTTCAAATTATATGTTCTTTAAATCTTCAGGATTTTAATTGTACCACGAAATAATAAATCAAGTCTTATATTTGGTATTTAGGGGATAATTCAATTGCCAAGATCATCATTATTCTTATGCCTTCTATGGTATTTAGAAGATATCAATACTTCATTTGCTAGCTTTTGATATGCACTTTCTGATGTTTATATGACACCTTCATGGTGTTTAAGATTCCTCATTTTCTTTTTCTCGGATCTATATTCACTTCAGGGATCAATGGTGTTTATTCAAAAATCGACTGATAAATCCTTCATGGATTAGTTCCTTTAAGGATGTTCTTATTTTCGGTGAATTACATTTCTCTTCCACGAGATATATTCTCTACTGTATGAGAGATTATTCTGAGATATACACAATGAGATAGTGTTATTCACTATAAAGTCATTCGATGACTATTCCTTTTAGGACATACTCTTCTTGAGACTTCAATATTCATACAGGAATATATATTCTATCTTATACTTCTTAATACTTAGTATGAGATTTAATTTCTATATGTTACGATTTCTATTCTTCAGGAACTATATGGATTTTCATAATCCACTTACTAACTGCATATTCATATCATTTCATTTGTCAGAGAGATAGCAGAACATTTATTTTTTCATAGTAGGAGATTCAACCTCAATTGCTTTCTTCATTGACCCGATATAACCGCTACAGGCGACTTTGTCATAGACTTTATTTTCTAGATCTGGGTTCTCATAAGAGAAACATTTGCAATTATAGAGGTATCGTTGTCCACAACTATTATTTTCTCCCAATATTCTCATAATGTGAGATTATTATATATCTTTGTTATTTCCCAAATAAGAGATGATTTATTGTTCTGCACTGTGGCAGAATCATCCAAAATAACACGTCTTCGGAGACGCTTGTCTTCCACTAGACACTAAGCACCCCGAAAGCAAGCTACATTGGATGGTTCCATCGAGCACACCCCAAGGGAAAACTCAAACAATCCATGTTTTCCTCTAAGATCCAATAATGTGAATGAGTTTACAATACTTAGCCCGTTTTATACAACAAGAGTTCTCAGAAATACACTATTACAATACCAAGTTTAGAGTGAAGAATTTAAACAGCGAAATTAAAATAAATATCTAACGATAAGATACAAGGATCCGTCTATGCCCACCAGAAGAATCCTCCACACAACAGTCATTCCTCAAGCTGCACCTACAATAGGGGTATATAAACCTTGAGTACACAATATACTCGCAAGACTTACCCGACTAGTGGGAATAGTTTCCCGACTCCAAAGGATATAATAAGCTTTTATGGTTTTCTGGGTTTTCTTTTTGCAAAAGCATTACTAACAGTGAATCCTTATGTATATATTTTATTAGCAGTCATGATTAATTCATTAGCTAACCATTATATGTAAGCACATGTTCTACTTTCGAGCAAGAGTTGAGCAATCAGATCCATTTCACTACCTTTCATTTTCCAGTTCTTACTACGGTGCTAGATCGTAGACAAGTCGTATTGTATTACACGGCGATTCGCGAACCAATGTAGCTCAGCTGGGTACCCCGAAACACACGCCTCTCTTGTACACCAGGCACAAGCGGGACCAACCCACCACTCTCCTGTCAAGGGGTCTAGGTCCCCGTCCAAACTTGGACTCCAATCCCCCACACCTGAGTCCCGGACTCAGTGTGGTGCTTAGACCTCCACCATCCCTGCCTTTAATTAGTCGGTCCAAAAAGAGCCAAAACCCACGACAAGAGAGCAACGAGCCTTCCCTGCTTCCATAAATAAGTATGTGCTCAGGATAATAAGTCTGTGACCTGATTAGAATCCAATGCAACGGCTGGTCCTTAACCGACACAAACAGGGAAAACAATGTAACCAAGCTATGCCCCGTTGGCCGCGGGACACAACCTATTACACCCACCAATACCCGTACCATATCCCTGCTTGGTCTCCATTTCTTTTCACCATTTTATCATGAGAGTGATAATAATAATCACCTATGGAGAGTAACGGCACGTTACTCACTCTACCGAAAAACCTAAGCATAGCAGCTACTCGACCTAAGCTAGTAGTACTCATAGGTAGGTATATATATGCATGTAGCTTCAACAATAAGCCTGTAACGTAAATGCACATCACATATATATATATCCAGTGATTATTCAAAATAAGAGTTATGCATCGGGGTTTGCCTTGGAAAGGCGCGGTGTCAGCTCAATCAGTTAGTGGCGGCTCCAGGACCTCCTCCTATACGAGAATCTTCTCCTTGTACTCCTCGATCATCTCATCGAACTCGTGGTCTCTATGGTCATGATCTCCGCCAACTCATTCTCTATATACATGCGATGATGATGCAACACTTACTATTTAAGCAACAACAGCTCCTAAATTAAGAATACATATGGTAAACTACTAAGCTAGCTCTAATGACTAAGATACTAAGCTAACTATCATCTTCATCAAGTAAAGTGTTGAGTTCAACTAACAAACACCTAACTTTATAAATAAAGAATATATCTTTATTTCTACTAATGATTTAATGTATATTTGAAACAAAGAGCATTTAACTACCCTTATGTTAAGTCTATTCTAAAGCTACAAAAATTATAGTGAGCACATAATAATACCATGAAGCTACTATAAAATTATCAAAGCTAAAGCTATCATCATTTTGCCACAAAAATTCAAACAATATTTAACCTAATAATATTAAGCACTCTCAAATGATTTAAAAGCTCCTGGTATCAACAAGTATATATATGAACTAAATACATTAACAGATAGAGCACAATTTTAGGAACTTAATAAAATTGATTTCATAATTTTGGATACCTACATTATTTTATATTAATTACCAAAGTTCAGCTTTAATTAAAATGAAAAGCTATTTCTATTCTCCACGAAAAAGCTAAAGCGCTTTCGCCCAATTATGCCCACGTGGCGTAAGTGATACAGGCACTTTCGGTGGCCATAAAGGCGGGCCAAGACGAGGCCGGCCTCATAGCCATGAGGTGGCCCATGAGGGGAGATCCACGCTGCTGGCACATTATCAAAAACGCCTCACGTTATTAGAAAATAGCGCAAACATTACAAGTACTATTTCTATAGTCAGCGACTTTGCAACGGAACCCTCGGATCTTCTCCCCTTTACAATGGCAAGGCCCTCGACCATCCCTACGCTCTCCGGCACGATGAGCGGTGGCACTGGCGCTTACGCCAGCCACACGGGACCCCTGCTAACCTATCTACAAGGCCGACGCTCAGCTAGGGTTTGACGCAAGACAATGGGCGGCGGTT